CAATGACTGACAAGCTTACCACATTCATAGACCTTGTTTTAGCCCATATTTATTTTTCTTTGAATAGTCTCTCATTCTGAATAACCCTAACAAAGCCTTCTCAACTACCAACTATACTCCTTCACTCAACGGTTAGATGGGAACTAACCTGTTCCCTTAATTACCGACCTTCTGTTTATAGCCTCCTACGAAAATAAGAGGAGATTGTCCTCTATCTCTGAGAAAGCTCCATTCAGTTTCCTTTTTTTTTTTTGAGATTGTTGCAAGGATTGAATGGAATAGTTTACATAACCATCTAACCCAGACCCTGACACCGATCCTGTGGACATGGTATTTTAACCACAGGATCTCCATTTTAAATACACAAAATATTGATCGGCCATTATTAATACCCATTTTTAGAATGAAGCAATACTCCTGTTCTCTCTCCCTCTTTTTCTTCCTTTCTTCCTCTCCTTCTCTCCTTTTTTTTAACTTTTCAACATCCTAGTTCCTCACCTCTACTCAATACATTCCTCTGAACACCTAAAAAAAAAGAGCTGGAAATCTACCTTCACCTTTTCTAATCAGCCCCTGAGAAGACCAAAGGGCAGAATGGACATTGTTTGTGCTTTGGCACAAGACTGACCCCATGGCTCTGCCACCTCTGAGCTGTGCAATAGCAGTCAGTTCCTTGACTTCCTTCAGTCTTGCCTTTCCCATCTGTAAGTTTCCTACACAGGTTTTGAGTGATATTTGCCTGACAGGACTGTAACTACTTGAAATACCACCAACTACCTGAGCTGTAGTGTATCGTCCATAATATATATAATATCATGCAGAACCATGCCAGGAAGGTTACATGTGTATAATAATAGCAAGATTTGTCTGCTAAAAACTTTTTTCCATAAGTGAGAAATCACATTCAGAATTTTTCTTTTGTTATTTATAAACTTAAAATATGTTCTCAGGAAAAAAAAAAAAAACCAAAGTAGTAATTTCCTAGGCTGTAATTTTCTGAAGAAAGCAGTCACTTAGCATTTACAATCAGAAAGAAAAATTACATCTACTACTGAATAGCAATAATGAATGTATTACAATTTTATTAAATACATTCCATAAAAATATTTTTAAGGGGGTCTATAGTAATGCAGACAATGCTATGAACCGCATCACTTAAGTTTAAAAAATTGGGACATTTCCATCATTGCCTCTAAGGAGCATGTGATATTATGTAAGTCTAGTTTTGCTTCTCTGGAAGTACATAAAATAAGCAAAATTTTGGTACCAACGCATCACCAGGAAGGATAAATGTTCACTTTAATGTCTTACTTATGTAATTGACAAATAAAAATAAAAGCAAACGAAAACATAAAGTGGAGAAAGGACACCGTTTTCAATCAATGGTCCTGGGATATATGGCTAGTCACAAGTAGAACAGTGAGGCTGGATCTTCATCTCCTACTTTACACAAAAATCAAATCAAGATGGATCAAAGACTTACTAAGATCTAAAGCGCTAAGAATTCTAAAATATAACATCGGAAAAACTCTTCTTGACATTGACTTAGGCAAAGAGTTCATGACCAAGAACTCAAAAGCAAATGAAACAAAAATAAAGACAAACAGATGAGACCTAATTGAACTAAAAAGCTTCCTCAAAGCAAAAGACATAATCAGAGGAGTTAAAAGACAACCCACAGAGCAGGAGAAAATATTTGCAAACTAGGAATCTGCCAAAGACTAATATCCATAATCTACAGGGAACTCAAATCAGCAAGAAGAAAACAAATAATCCCATCAAAAAAGTGGGCAAAGGACATGAATAGAGAATTCTCAAAAGAAGATATACAAACTGCCAACAAACATATAAAAAAATGCTCAACATCACTAATTATCAAGAAAATGCAAATCAAAACCAGAATGCGATATCACCTCACTCTTGCAAGAATGGCCATAATTAAGAAATCAAACGATCATAGATGTTGGTGTGGATATGGTGAAAGGCGGACACTTTTACACTGCTGGCGGGAACATAAACTAGTACAGCCACCATAGATAGCAGTATGGAGATTCCTTAAAGAAATAAAAGCAGAACTACTATTTGATCCAACAACCCCACTACTGGGTACACTGGGTATCTACCTAGAGGAAAAGAAGTCATTTATAGCAGCACAATTTGCAATTGCGAAAAAATATGGAACCAATCCAAATGCCCATCAACTAATAAGTGGATAAAGAAACTGTGATACACACACACACACACACACACACACACACACCATAGAATGCCACTCAGTAATAAAAAGAAGCAAAATAATGGCATTCGTAGCAACCTGCATGGAGCTGGAGACCATTATTCTAAGTGAAGTAACTCAGGAATGGAAAAACCACACATCATATATGTTCTCACATAACTGGTGGCTAAGTTATGAGGACCAGCAACATAGGAATGATATAAAGGACTCTGGGAACTCCGTGGGGAGGGATGGGAGGATGCAGAGGGATAGAAGACTACACATACAGTACAGTGTACACTGCTTGGGTGATGGGTGCACCGAAATCTTAGAAATCACCACTAACGAACTTCCCCATGCAACCAAACACCACCTGTTCCACCAAAACTACCGAAATAAAAATAAAAATTAAATAAAATCAGAATCCTCCAACCAACTGAACAGACCCCCTCATGGCCAAGTCGACCCCAAAGAAATCTAAAAACCGAGATCCCAGCTATGATGAGGAGATGAGAGGCTGGACACACCTCATCATACCTCCTCCTTCACTACCATACGGCTTTCTTCCCTAAGGGCTAAACAGAAGTCAACCCTTTTTAAAGACTCATACAAGGAAAATGCGGCACATATACACCATGAAATACTATGCAGCCATAAAAAACGATGAGTTCATACCCTATGTAGGGACATGGGTAAATCTGGAAACCATCATTCTCAGCAAACTGACACAAGAACAGAAAATCAAACACCGCATGTTCTCACTCATAGGTGGGTGTTGAACAATGAGAACACATGGACATAGGGAGGGGCGCATCACACACTGGGGCTGTTGCAGGGACTGGGGAGGGACATCGAAGGGTAGGGAGGTTGGGGAGGGATAACATGGGGAGAAATGCCAGATATAGGTGACGGGGGAATGGAGGCAGCAAACCACATTGCCATGTATGTACCTATGCAATAATCTTGCATGATCTGCGCATGTAACCCAGAACCTTAAGTACAATATATATATTGTAATTATAATTAGGTATCAATGAGAAACCGTTTTGCCAAAGCAAATGAATTTAAATTCCCTCTCAAAATCCCGTGAATGCCCTTATGTCCCTGGCTGTAGCCTTTACTGTAGTATGCCATTAGACAAGTCTTTCACACTGTTTTCTCATCTGTAAAACAGTGATTACCGTATCTACCACAAATAGTCATGGACAATTCAGAAATTCCTTATACTTAGTAAAAGTTTAATAAAAGATTTTTTTCCTTTAAAAAAGAAAGACTCACTCCATGACTGATATCATCATACCTGATGCTGCCCCTCCCTTTCTGTGGTTTTGAATAACAAGGAACCAACATTCCTTCCTAATAAGAGGCCACCAACCACACAGCAGTTCTGGCTAGTCGAAAGTATGCTCAGCAAGGGTTTCTATGTCCTCTGCTTCACCTTTTGACATCAGAGGGCTGAAAACTCCACCCCTGAATTGTGCTAACATGGCCCTTTTTTGTACACGGGTCCCATGCTGAGGTTGAAGCTTAACTGTGCATGTGCATGTTTCTGTTTTCGTAAATTTCATAACTCCTGTAGCTTATTTATATGTATCTTTTACAACCTCATTCAGTATAAATCCCTGTCATTCTTACCACCCTCAAAGCACCTGTCTTGGTGAAAGGCTGTGTTTCCCAGGCTGCAGAAAGGCCGCCTTGAAAGCTGTAATTCTTTATAAAACATGAACCCTCAGCTAACGGGCTGTGGCTCAGGCCTGTAATCCCAGCACTTCGGGAGGCTGAGGAGGGTGGATCACCTGAGGTCAGGAGTTCATGACCAGCCTGGCCAACATGTGAAACCCCATCTCTACTAAAAATACAAAAGTCAGCCAGGTGTGGTGGCATGCACCTGCAATCCCAGCTACTCAGAAGGCTGAGTCCGGAGAATCCCTTGAACGCAGGAGGCGGAGGTTGCAGTGAGCCAGGATCATGCCACTGAAACTCCAGCCTGGGTGACAAGAATGAAATTCTGTCTCAAAAAAAAAGGAAAAAAAAAGTCTCCTCTACTTTTTTCTAAATTTATATATTGTGGGTTTTTTTTTATGTTAACATATTTAATGAGACTTTTAAAACAACTGAAGTGATATTTTACTTTTGCATAGCTTAGCAATGTATTAATATATTCAACTTTATTTTTTAAATGTACAGATATTTTATAATATTTTAATAAAAAAGAATATGATTCATTGAAAATTCTTGGTGTCTACATTAAAATGACCTTCAAATTAGATTTAACACTGCATTGCTTCTAACCAAAGAAATTGGAGAGAAAGTAAGATGTGAAATGTGGATAAACTAAAAAATGCCTGCCTTGAAAGATACATGTCAAGGAAACGTGAACTTTTCCACATAACAATAGCAGAACGACTGGAATCTCCCCCACACATTAACTCTGTGGTCCTAAATTGATGTGCTTTAATATGATCAAGGGATGAAGCAAAGAACAGAAGTTTTGTTCATAACGCAGCCTTCAACTGCCATGACTTCCTCAGGACAGACTGTGCATTTAAGAAAAACCTGTGGGGCCTCAAACCGTTCAAAATGAATTTGAGGAGTAAACACATTCTTTACAATGAGCCGAAAAGCGACTATGTGAGAAGAGAAAGAAGCCTTTTCCTTGACTGTCGTTACAGACAAATAGCACTGAAAATGCAAGATTTTGCACATTACTTATTTTTAAAATTTAGAATAAAAAGACCAAAATGATTGGAAACAGAATTTGTAAATCCAAAATGTCTAGACTTACTGGTACATGCCATAGAAGGTGGGTCTTTTTCAGCTCGGAAATAAGCCCTTTCACACTGACAGACAGAAGTTGCTTCCATGTATGTTACACTATGTGGAGGGCATTTAGAACATTTTGTGTTCCCAGCAAAAGCTTTATAGAATCCTGGTCTGCAAGCTGTAAAAAAAGAAAAAAAAACATTTTTTAATGCTAGAATTATTTTATTTGTATATGTACAACATATCTTAATTTATACACACATTAGATCTCAGAGCAGTGTTATAGATACATAGAAGTCATATATGTTAACATTAACAAATGAAATTAGTTATTGAGAGTTAATAAAACCCACTATGCCGTCATATTTTAGCTGAGGCTGCTAATTTGTAAAATCATACCTCAAGCATACACACACACACACACACACACGCACGGGCACATGCACACAAAATATCACCATCTTTGTTAGTGGCTAAATTTTGTTTTATATATGCTGTAACTATTTTATTAATAGTTTATGTTTGTTTTTATAATAAGATTTTTATAAATGTTCTATTTCAAAAGAAGCAATATTATCAATTCTGCATGGTAAAATTATTATCAAGTTGGTTATTCAGTATCAACATCCACAGGAAGTGGTGGTACACAAATATTCAACAATGGTCTCTTCAATAACTTGTTGATAAATAAATAGTATATAGTTAATCAAAAAAGACTACCATTAAAATATTTTTCTAAAATTTAGGAAATTGGAGTATATAAATAACATATGAGAAACAGCACTAACATTTTCAAAATTGAATATTGTTTAAAAATCTTTACTAAATGTGATCTTATGACAGCAGTTACAACACAATGTATCACAAAATATTCAATAAGTTTACCTTCTATAGTTTTCCAATAAAATGATTGTTTTCTACTAATATATGCAGTTTAAAATAACCGAATATATTCAACAGGGTAGGTCTGTTAATAATTTCCCAAATAATTTTAAAAGTTGGACCTGAAATTTAAAGAATACCTTTAATCTGTAACAATATTTGAAAACAGAATATACTAGTCAACGTAGAGAGAACATACAAATCTAAATGGGGAGCTTACATTCAAAATATTGCAATGGTATTTACAATATTTTAAGGTAAAGTAATGTTTAAAAGGCTTTTTATGTTATTTTGTGAAGTAAGACTATTTCACATTAATTAGAAACATGTATGCCATAGAACCACAACATGAAAAATGTTTATTACATGTACATATATAGGACCTATAAGACAGATAAAGAAGAGTTATAGGCACATTGTTTTCTTCTTTTAATCAGCCATTCAAATTTCTGTCAAGAACACTGTTCAGAATATAAAGTGGCCTTGCTTGCAACCTGCTTTTGTGCAGCAAGGCACTGTTACCTTTTATTTACTTTCTTTGGTAGCTAAAACCAGAATCTAAATAATTTCCCATCTGAAGTGTTTTCTGTTAATTTGTCACTTCTTAGAATGTTTTCAGAATGCTTAGAACACCTCCTAAGATATTTAGAATAGGCTGGTGATATTCAGCTGTTCTCGAGAACAGTCTCGTAACGAGCCTCTCAGCAACTATTCTTGCTCACTTGAATCCATTCTTCAGAGCGATCTTCTAAACATACTGTATCTAACAGCAGTATACAGTGAGACATACATACATAACTTTAAATTTTGTAGTAGTCACATTAAAATACTAAAAAGAAACAGGTGAAATTATATTTTAATAACATGTTTTATTTAACACAATATATCCAAAATATTATTTCAACATAAAATCAACCATTGATATATTTTACGTTTTTTGAATTTTTAAAATGTTTCTGTAAAGTATTTGAAACCCTGTATGTACGTGACACTTACAGCAGGTCTCAGCTCAAATTCACTGCATTTCAAGTGCCCAAAAACCTCACATGGCTAGTGAATACTGTAGTGGACAGCACAATTGTAAACACAGAAATCTATTGATTATATTCTCCTATTTCAAAAATTTGGATAATTTCCCACCATACTGATGTTACGGTTGCCCACGATTTGGCTCTGCCTACCTCTCCAAACACATCAGATGAAGATATTCCCTTCCTGCACCTTCTTGGTTAAGGCTTTGCCCCTCTGCAGTCTATGCTCAACCCAGTAGCTGATGATCTCCTGAAAACATGTGTAATACTGTGCTGCGACTGGACTTAGAACCTTCCAGTGGCTTCTCTTCCTCCAACAGTAAAGGTTGTTCCCTTGTTAACCGCCTCCCAAGCACTGCACGGTTTTGCTCCCACCCGCTGTGACCTCGCTTTTCATTTCCTACATCTTATTTCCTTTAGATACTCTGATCGAGCCACACTGGCCTTTTTCAGAATCTCGGACACCGAAAGCTTGTTCCCACAACAGGGCTTTTTGTAACATTCGCTCTTAGTGAGCTATCTGCATGGTTTGGTCCTTCCCTTACATCGGGTCTTTGTTCAAATGTCACCAAATTAATGAAGCCTTCCTTGATTCCTTGTTTAAAATTTCGACTCCTGCTACACCCCATTGCAATACTCCATCTTACGCTCCCTCTCCAGAGAACTTCAAATCTGACACATGATGCATTTCATTTTTAAATCATTCCACAGTAAAACGTATGCTCCAAAAAGGCAGATTTTTTTTTCATTTTGTTTTCTAAAATGCATCTCCAGGGTCTAGAACAGTGCTAGCCATTATTAGACCCTCAATGAGGCATATTTGGCCAATAAATGAATGATTGCCAAAGACCTCCTTTAATTTCCATAGTTTTACCATGCTGTTTTTCCTGCTTTGAGCTCATCAGAGAGATGCAAATCAAAACCACATTGAGATACCATCTCACGCCAGTTAGAATGGTGATCATTAAAAAATCTGGAGACAACAGATGCTGGAGAGGATGTGGAGAAATAGGAACACTTTTACACTGTTGGTGGGAGTGTAAATTAGTTCAACCATTGTGGAAGACAGTGTGGCGATTCCTCAAGGATTTAGAAATAGAAATTCCATTTGACCCAGTAATCCCTTTACTGGGTATATATCCAAAGGACTATAAATCGTTCTACTATAAGGACACATGTACATGAATGTTCATTGCAGCATTGTTTACAATAGCAAAGACCTGGAATCAACCCAAATGCCCATTGATAATAGACTGGATTGGAAAAATGTGGCACATATACACCATGGAATATTATGCAGCAATCAGAAATGATGAGTTTGTGTCGTTTGTAGGGACATGGATGAATCTGAAGAACATCATCCTCAGCAAACTGACACAAGAACAGAAAATGAAACACCGCATATTCTCACTCATAGGTGGGTGATGAAAAATGAGAACACATGGACACAGAAAGGGGAGTACTGAACACTGGGGTCTATTGGGGGGAAAAGGGGAGGGCCAGTGGGAGGGGGAGATGGGGAGGGATAGCCTGGGGAGAAATGCCAAATGTGGATGAAGGGGAGAAGGAAAGCAAAGCACACTGCCATGTGTGTACCTACGCAACTGTTTTGCATGCTCTGCTCATGTACCCCAAAAACTAAAATCCAATAAAAAATTAAAAAAAAAAAAAAGAAAAATCTCTGCACTGCATCTCCACCCCATGACCCACGCATGCTGTCTGTTCCTCATAATCTTCATGACTGTCATTCACTTACCTTTCAGCTCACTGTTCTTTAAGATGGCCATTCTGACTTTTGAGAACCAATTTAGTTTCTCAAAGGACCTGGACCTTTTCCACATTAGTTAGCCTTGGTGATCACCTGTGTAATGGCTGCAAGCACCCCAAGAGCATTTTTGCCCAGTGCTTAGGGCTTGTCATAACGCAGGTGCTCAATACATACTTGTTTAATTGAACTGGATTGTGTGTGAGTGCTCTTCTAATTGAGTTTCTGCAAAAGATTATGCATGTCTATTTAATGCATGGTCTGATAATGGCACGATTTATCTTTCTATAGATTTATATGTTTTCTGCTTAATGTATTATAAGTAAGGAGTGAAAACAGACAGTAAATATGTTCAAAACGATTAAACTGTGCCTGAAAAATGATTGTTCTAATATTGCAAGATGACCTAGCTATTAACAGCTTTCCATTTGAAATCATTATTAGTGTGAACTTGGATTTTCCTTCTAATGCAAAAAAAATACATATAAAAATTGGATAAAGGGGCTGCAACTTTCAACTCTATCCCCGATTTCAAATGTTTTTTATACATCAGCGTGCCTTTGAAATCCTTAAAATTTTGAACTCTTAAAATATATTTGGATTATTTAAATATTTCTGTTTTGATATTAACACTTAGCATAATATTTCATTTAAAAATAAATAATTCTCTCAAGCCTGTAATCCCAGCACTTTGGGAGGCCGAGGCGGGTGGATGACGAGAGATCGAGAACATCCTGGTCAACATGGTGAAACCCCATCTCCACTAAAAATACAAAAAATTAGCTGGGCATGGTGGCGCGTGCCTGTAAACCCAGCTACTCGGGAGGCTGAGGCAGGAGAATTGCCTGAACCCAGGAGGCGGAGGTTGCGGTGAGCCGAGATCGCGCCATTGCACTCCAGCCTGGGTAACAAGAGCGAAACTCCGTCTCAAAATAAATAAATAAATAAATAAATAAATAAATAATTTTGTTGTCCGAAAATTATTGTTGAGGCACTCACATTCCCTTATACAGCACACATTAATATTTATTTTGTTGTTGAGACGGAGTCTGACTCTGTCACTCAAGCTGGAGTGCAGTGGCACAATCTCAGCTCACCCTATCCTCAGCTCCCCAGTTCAAGTGATTCTCCTGCCTCAGCCTCCTGAGTAGGTGGGCTTACAGGCATCCATGTCCAGCTAACTTGTATTTTAGTAGCGACCGGGTTTCACCACATTGGCCAGGCTAGTCTCAAACTCCTAATCTCAAGTGATCTACCTGCCTCCGCCTCCCAAAGTGCTGGGATTACAGGCGTGAGCCAGCGCACCTGGCCTTTAGCTTTTATAAACAATGGAAAAATGGAATGAAGGTAAATAAATGGTGAATGCTAATACCTAATATGACCTAACATAACAAGAGTTCTGTAAATTGAATAAGTATTCTGTGTATCTATTTAGTTAGTGGTCTTAGGTTTTGTTAGAATTAGGTTATAAATGGAATATCAGTACCTAGGTCTTGAGAA